GTGGGGGCGCCCGCCCCCCCCCCCTCCCCCCTTTTTTTTTTTGTATCACTGCTGCCTACCCAATTTTTTTTATCCACCACTGGATTCCAAGTCTTGCCAGTTGCTCGCATAAATAAATGAAAAGCCGTCGCCGGCCCTGAAAACCACTTGAGGGAAGATCCAGATAGCGACTCACTCGAGTGAAGTGCCACGAGTTGCTCCTTGAAACCACCCGCGTCTCCTGGGAATCATATATTCACTTGCTCTTCTGCAGTGCATGCAACTGATAAAAGATTCAGTCGTGGATACGATTGTTTCGGTGAACGTTCCGAAAAAAAAAAGAACGTGTGGGAATTCGTGCATCCTTTTTATTTCCACCTGGAAGGCTTCCAGAAGCTCTCAGAAAAACGGAACGGTGCAGAAGTCCCTCGTGATGCTCGGCCCGCGGGAAAAGAAAAAAGCGGAGGGAACCATGGCTGCCCCCATGGACGAACATCTTTCAGCGCTGTCGCAGCCCTCAAGTCACCGCGGCACGAAGTTGGCCCGCATTGCGGTCCTCCTTGTGCCCATAGAAAACCCTGGAATTTTTCTTTTTTGCCTCCATAAAACGAAACGCACGCTTCGCAGGAGAAAAAAGTAGATCAGGAGTTAGTCAAGATCTGCACGTTCGGATTCCTCGCATGGATACGAACTGGAACGTGATTCCGCATGATTCACGACTCGACCACGTGCTTTCCAAGGGCAGCGCCATGTTGAATCTCCCCTGCATCTGCAGCAGCAGCGCTCCACCGCCAAATAAGTCTTCCGGACTAATTCTGCCAATCCCGGCGGAGCGAAGGCTTTCTCTCTCGTTCCAAATTTAGGAGGCTCACGTACTCTCTAATGTGAATTCCTTCGCGAAGAAAACACATCGCGTCCTTCCCGCCTGATTACCGTCATGTGAGAGTCACGTGCTACTATGGCCCCTTTCAGCCGCACATGGTATCGATCACGGAGGAGGCCAGCGGAGTGAGCATAGGCTTCCAAGGCGCATGGGATCGGCCTAGTTAAGAATGACGTGTCGGTTGGAGCCTTCGCCCGTTTTTTTTGGGGCTAGGCCGAAAGTGAACAGTTTTCGACCGGCTTGGCTTTGGATCCGAATGCAGTGTGACGTTAGGCCTACCATAAGATCAGAATTGCCTTGTCTACACATTTAAATTTTCAGTAACCGAACCGGGTGATTTGGGAGCCTTAGATGGGGCTTTGAATCTCTGCTCTCAGGTGGCAGTGCGGCTTAACCGCGGTTGCACCGTCGGACATGTTAGAGCTGAAAGAGGCGACGAGTAAGTTCAAACTGAGGGCGTCTGACTTTGTGGCTCAGACATATGCCACTCTGGAAGGAGAAGAGCAAACGAAGGGCGTGAAGAGCAAGTATGGCCGGCTGGCACACGACTGGAAGGCGGAGGAGAAGGCGGAAAGGGCCGTCTTCGACGACGGGACCATGACGTATTTCTGGTGAGTCGGCCGAAGTTTCGGGCATCTGCCCCGAAGGTCTCTCGGTGTAATTATTGCATGCTTGACCTTGTTTCTCTGCGACCTTTGCAGGAGAGGTCACACGATGACCGTCCTTTTCACCCTGATAATCGGCTTGATATACGTGGCTACGGTGGAACCTGTCGAAACTGACTCCTTTTATAATACGAAGAGGTGTGTGGTATATTTTTGCATATGCATATATTTTGCATATTTGTGCATGTTTTTGCATTGGCCTGCAGTCGTGATTTTTGTGCAGGGTATCAGTGTGCTGCGAAAGCTCCAAAAGTCCCTTGCACCAAAAGTCACATCATCCATGATTGGCTTAAGAACTATCACAAATATGACTAATTTCTTTAAAAAGTCCCAAATATATATATATATATTTCTCTCAGGGGTCTGATAGCTGTGATAATCGTGTTCGTCCTCGTCGGCGTGACCGTGACTCCCGACGGCCCCTTCCGCCGGCCCCACCCGGCCATCTGGCGGTTTGCCTTCTGCTGCAGCATAGTCTATGAGCTCGCCCTCATCTTTCTTCTGTTTCAGGTAAAAAGCGAAAAGCAGTGAGTTTTTTAAAAACCTGTCATATTTAAATAATCTCATGGAACAAAGCGACGCATCATCATTTCAAGCGATCGGGGAAAGTTTAATTTAAGCTATTTGAAATTCTGCTTTGTTGCCTTCCCATGTTGCTTATTGCCTCTATGACGTGTCTCATTTTGGGCTGGATTATGTTCATTTTTTAATGCATGGGACCATACGTGCGATAGTAACGGTTACTTGCGGCTGCGTGAAGCGATTCCGCACGGATCATCCATGCCAGTTATGTGTATAATATTGGCCAAAATAATGTCACCTCTACAGTTTTAATGTAAAATTTTAGCTGTTAATTTTATCAAGCATACCATTATTTCCAACAAAGCGTTACCTTATGAAAGGCCGCACTGCGCAATCCGACGTCTGCTCGGCACCTTCAACAGGTCTTTAAGGAAGCATGGACTCAAGAAATAACTCCATCGTTTTGCTCAAGATCGATAGAATCTATGGCAGAGCAAATTCAAGAAGTTTTGAAACTCAGAAGGTCTCCATTCCCATTATTGAGGCGTGTTTGCCATTATTCGCATTTGATTTACGGAGTTTATGTTCTTACTGAACTGTAAACAAGGATTATATCCTTGTTTACTTTGTTGGAAATAATGGTATTCTTGATAAAATTGACAACAGCTAAAATTTTGCTTTCAAACTGTAGTGGTGATATTATTTTCACCATTACCTTAGATATCTGTGCCACATGTTTTAATAATTTTTTTACATGTTGATCAGTGAAGCTCCATGTAAGAGAGTTAATGTGGTTGAGGAAGATGATCCATGTGAGGTTTATTCAAGCAAACTTCTTGAGGTGGCAAGTAATTGCATGCATTTGTCAAACTTGTTACTTGATTATCTTCCTAGTTGAAGTAAATGATTTTTAGCATGCAGTTATTCTGAACAAGTTGCTTCACATTTGTCTCTAAATCTTTGCCAAATTAAGGGTTTTGTTTATGGTCCATAAAGACCGTGTTTCATCAGAGCTGTTGCAAAATTTTCAAGGGCATGGGTCGTTTTGACTCTTGATCAAAAGATGACAGAGCTGCTGGGGAAGAGGAAGAGGATTCGGCCTGCTGATCTCTTGATGAGTTTGATATTGGCACCGGCACAGAAAGAACTAGCCAGGATTATTTCATGGTTTTTTCATTCACCTCTACTTCGCAGTGCAACTTGCATGACTTCGTGCGTGTAGATATCTCGTTGACTGCAATTGTAGCGCGATGTGGAACTAAAATGTACTATCTGCTCGTATGCCACCTTGCTGCAGCATGTATGGGAATTTCATTTCATGATTTCAATGTCATTGAAGTGACAGATGAAGTGTCAGTTCTTAGCATAGTTACTGAGGTAATTTTTGACATTTCTGTTAGATTTGTGAGGATGAGATGATATCATATGCATTTCAAACCCTATCCGGTTATGTCTCATATGACCCATGTGATATATATGACATATATATGGTACACCACGTATGTCACCTATTTATCGTATCGAACGTATGTGCCCGTTTCTCGTGAACTCATATATGGTACTTCCATACACGATGGAATCCTTATTTCTAGGGTTGAACCAAAGCATCAGCAACCACTGATATTGGCAGGTTTGCAAGCTGTCAATGCTGATTGAAGAACAAGCGAAAAAAAAAAACTGAATTTGGCAAGTAAATGAATCCCAACAGCAAAATTTAAAAAGCTGGGATGTCACAATTCATCCAGTCATGTCAGTATTGATATTTGGAGGCGTTAATGGCTTTATTACCTGTCGCAATAGTCTGAACTCGTTTCAATCGTGGACGAAAGATGGGGGAAAAGACAGAAAGAGGTCTGCATCCTGATTGAGGCAAGGAGCAAATGAAGTCAAACCTCTGCCCAATTGCGAAGAGGGATGACTGAATCCACCAGCACCCCTTCCCCCCCCCATCCCGATGGTTTATATTTCCTTTAGTTTTAATTGAATGCAGCTTAAGAAATGAAGAGTCCTAACGAACCATGGGTCATCTCAATATTTTTTAGACGAGCACGGATGCTCGATTGCTTCTGAAACACGTCGATCCTCAGCTCGGGGAGCCCCTGGCCGAAAAGGACTACGGCGGCAACTGTCGGATATACGACCCCGACAGACCCGATGACCCCTTCCATAATGTCTGGGTGAGAGCATCTCTTGGTGTGATGTCATACGATGTCCATGGGAGCAGCTTGCAATCTCTCATTTTGCTCCTAGGACAAGATGGACGTGTTTGTGCCGTCCCACATGTTCGGCTGGCTGATGAAGACTCTGATACTCCGTGACTGGTGGGTCTGCATGGTCATCAGCGTCATGTTTGAAATCCTCGAGTATACCTTGGAGCATCAGCTTCCGAATTTCAGCGAATGCTGGTGGGACCATGTACGTTCGTGTTCAGAGGGAGTGGTGTTTTTGATAGGCTTTTCATGTGCGTGATCATCTTTGCAAATTTAATTTTATTTCCCATGGGATACAGTGGATCCTTGATGCCCTGGTATGCAATGGTTTGGGGATCTTACTTGGCTTGATGGTTCTCAATTATTTTTCTCTCAAGACCTATTTTTGGAGGGGTTTATGGAAAATTCGAACATATAGGTATGTGGGGGGTTTTTTTTTTATATTTGGCCAGTGTAGAAAAAGTGGTAATTCTAAAAAAGCATAATGCTTTTCTCATCTCCAGAGGGAAGCTTTCCCGTATCATCGGTCAGTTCGGACCATACAGCTGGATCGATTTCGAGTGGAAGCCGACCTCCAGCCTCGGGAGGTGGATGTCGATGCTGGGGATCATCTTCATGGTGAGCATGCACTTTTTCAATGCACTTTTTTTCAATGCACTTTTTCAATGCACTCTTTGCTAAATATCTCCTCCTATCCCATATTATTTGCATGAGGTCAGCGTAGTCTTTGTGACTCTTGATTGGGTTTCTCTTATTCCTCCTCCAGTTTCTGGTGACAGAACTGAACACTTTCTACCTGAAATTTGTGCTCTGGGTTCCACCAGAGCATTGGCTTAATGCTGCGAGATTATTCTTCATGCTTCTTTGGGGAGCTGTCGCTCTCCGTGAAACTTTTCAGTATCTCGATGATCCGTAAGAAATTGGAAAAGTACTTTCCATGCGATTGACATTTGATTGATGAAGTAGCTATATGTTCTGCTCTCCTGATTCCAGTGAATGTGATGAATTTGGCAGGCAGTCCTGGCTGGTGGCAGCCATCGTGTCCTCTGAGTTTCTTATTGTTGTTAAGTTTGGCTGGGAGACTGTCTCAAAGCCTTTACCTAGGTCAGATACTAAAGCTGTACCTTTTTTTCCTTGATTATCTCTGTATTTCCCACTTTCCTGAAACTATTCTGCTTCCCACTAGGTCAGTGGCCATATTTTGGCTTCTTGGGGTGGGCCTTTTGATTCTGTGGACCGTCTGGAACTTCTTCCTGAAGGTGCATCCAAGCGAGAAGAGGTGAGCCGTGCGAATGTGCGACCGGAGTTAATTTGGCATTCGGGTTACCTTGAACTTTTTTCTGAAAATGTAGGAATTCCAATTGGAATCATGTGGGCAAGGCAGATTCTCAGAAGAGCGCCCGGGAAAAGCCATCTGCCTTGCGCAGCCCCGGGGAAGCTCGGAGGACTCAGAGTCTCAGGCTGAGGCACCATAGGAACACTAAGATGAACTCTCATCGTAATGCTTAGATCCATTATGTTTGAAGGAATGTGCATGCATTCCATCCTTTCCCTGTCAAAGTACACTTGTGAGTTGCTCAATGTTTTTTTTTCCCTTTAATGCAAACATATATGAAAGAAATATATAAAAAGTTAATGGGAAAGAAATGAGTCACTTGTTGCCGGAGACACGGGTCTCCCGGCTCGATCACCCGGTGAATGCATCCGAAGCCGCACATCGCGGAGCCCCATTCGTCCCCTTGAGTTGTGTGCGTCACTGGGCTGCATCGTCCTTTCTTCGGTCCGAGTCGCTTGTGCGAGCGCTCGATCGCGCAGACCTGATTATTTAGGAAAAGATCAAATCTTGTGATGCAACTGTGCTTGCCTTTTGTACAACTGTCACCCTCTTCCTTCATTGATCAGGTGTGTTTTCTATGTGTCCCACCAAGCTCAATGCATGTTGAGTGTCCCTGTCACTTTAGAGAATCTCTTCAATGTCGCTTCTCTGCCGGACTTGTTCCACGTGGCGTTCTTTTTGCACAGCGACGCTTCCGGCTCCGATGTCTCCGGTTTTTCCTCTGTGTGCAGCTCTTTTAACTCGTTCTTCCAAGGTTCCCCGTGGAAAATCTGGAGAAGCGAGGGAAAAACTGGATGCTCTAAGAAATCAAACAAATGACTTTTTCATTTCCTGTTACCCAATTTTTCTAAATAAATGGTGGAAATTTTGCTGAAAAAAAAAGCCAAATTCATTCCTGGGAACTCAGATTACATTACAGTGTTTTAAGTGGACAGGACTTCTTGCAGTTTACAAATTTGCAATCCATCTCTTCACAAAGCAGAGAGTGTTGGGGGGGGGAATTTGTAGCGTGCAAAAAAACGTTGCAAATATGTGCTGCAACACTTAGATTGCACACTGTCGCATCAGTGTTTTGCAAAATTTGATGCATTCAGCATAATTCTGCATCCTCTAAAGGATATAAACATTTTTTTTTTTGCTCGATAAATAGGTACACCAACTGACTAAAATTTTGCAAACTGCTATTGAATGTACTTTATCGATGGCAATATCTCACCCTTTTGTGCAGAAAGTGGAGAATGAGGAACTTGAGATCTTTGAAAATTCGATTTTTCATCAGGGACATAAAGGGAAGTAGAAACAGAAGAAAAAAAAATTAATTGCAAATCGTGTCCTTTCGTGGCCCCTTGCCCCAAAATTGCATGCCATTTTCAATCAACCGCTCTGAGCTTTCAACTTGGCATTGGCATTTCAACTTGGAAAAATGGCATTCATTTTTAGTCGTGCAAATTTTTGCTGCCAAACAGGAATCTGCAGCATATATTTACTCCCTGTGATACCTAATCAGCGTGCTAATCTTAAACTAGAGCCCAGAATCCGCTAAATGTTCTTTTCGTCGAGTATATATATATAATATTTATATTGTAAGTAATTCGGTTTTTCATAAGGTCTTCACTAATCGCGACTGAATTTTTCTCCGAGCTCGTCGGCTGAACTTTTTCGCTTCCGTTGAGAATCGTGGGTCGTGTCACCCAGGTATTTAATATACATAATTGATATTATATCAATTCATCGGCGGAAGGACCGGCGTTGGTTTTTGCAATCCGTGAAATTTGCAGAAGACCGGCGTCGCTCTGGAAGTACGCCAACTCGGTTCGAGTCCGTTTTGCATTACGGCAATAAATATATTTTCCCCCTTCATCAGTGTGGTTATTCCGGCTGATATCAGCGTTCCACGAGATGCTGATGAGACTGCAAAAAGGAAGGCGAGAACCCCAAGAAAAGGAAATTACCCAAATAATTAAAATGTTAAATTACAATTTAAACTACGCTCTAAATTAAATTCATAAATACGGATCTGCCTCCTTCGACCTTCACTCGACCTTGAGACCGGGGGACTCTCCTCCTCCCGCTCCTTCCACCAGACCTCCCCCCGAAACAGGATGGACTCGCCCATCCACCCGAAGCATTTAAAATCCCAGTTTCTCCGCGCGATGTAACCCCCTTCCGCTCATAGCCGAGAGGCAGCGCGTTCATTTCCCATTTGCAAGACCCTAGTTCGAACCCATCCATGGCCTTTTTTTAAATACTAAATTAAATTTTTTTATATTATCATGTATATTTTATATATTTATGCCTGTAATATTTTTCATATTTATACATGTATATTTTTTTAAACCCAGCCTTTCTGTTTTTCTCGTCGCGCATCGGAATCGACTTGTTTCTTCGCCGATTCCGAGCTCTTAGACACTTCACTTTTCGTTCATGCTATCTCTGACCGAGATTCCAAACAGGAAACTTATGAAGACGGCGAACTCAAAAATACGGCAAAAAAAAGAAATCTTTAAATAATAATAAAAATACTTAAATAGTCATTGGCATTTGGCTTGAGGTTCGGTCAAGACAATTGACTCGAGGCATCTTCACACGACGCGGGAATGAAGTAGGAAAGCTGAAAAAAATAACTTTATTCCATAGTAGGGCACAAAAGGAACACTGGAAAACTTGCGCTGAAAATCGAGTTTCGAAATCACTTGACGGCCGGATGGGTTTTCCATCGAAAATCCACTTTCTTCACCTCATAAGATTTTCTGGGCTCGTCCTCAAGTTTCATGATGGGGGGGGGGAAATTTGCTGTGGAACGAGGTGGAAGGGCTCTGTGGAGTTCAGTATCGTTTTATTGGGAGAATAAGACTCTGGAGGAAAAACTGATGAAAAAGAGCATTTTCCAGATTAATATGATCTTACCATCCGTGTCACGAATCTTAAACCTCGTTTTCCGCAACCACTCTCAACAGAAAATATTTAAACATTGCGCCGCTGCTTCTCTTGAATTTTTTTTTACCTCCGAAAGAAGCCTCAATCTTTAAAAAAAAAATAACAGGAATGCACTGGAATGGATTCCTGAAAACCGCGAGAAAACCGTCCAAGAATGCACGAAAAAGGCGAACAATAAGCATCAGTACACATCCCCGCAAGAGATGGCATCCCGATCCAATTCGAAGAAACCAAGGGCCAGGCGCACCATTCAATGCAGTGAAAAACTCCCATTGGCGCCGAATGCCTCCTGACCGGGACGACCGACCCGAGCGCCCCTCGCCCTTCCCAGCTGAATCTCATCCTCTCGCTCCGGTGCGAGGAGGTCCGTTGGGGAGGCTGACAGTCCTGGATCTCCTCCACCTCGCCGGTCCCGCAGGACCTCCGTGCGATCGCCCGCATTGCGTTTTCCCGTCGCGAAGGAGGTGAAAGCATCCATTTCTCCTTCATATTCCGCCGCAACCCAGAGGGAACTCCATCTCCTCAAGTATAATAATTATACTTTTATATTTATTTTATTTTAATATTTATTTAAATTTTATCAATTTATCTGGATGAATTACTCATAAAACGTTTCAGCGCCAGCAGCCTCCGTCAACTTTCCCACGCAACTGCAAGAAATCTGCTCAGGGTGCGTTTCTCTTATGAATAACGAATCGATAAATAGAGGGAAACTCCCGCATAAATGAATATACACAGAAATGGAAAGGGCGCACGTGCAATGCACAGGCTGGATGTCGACGACGGCGCCACCTGGAACCGACCGAAGGCCTCGTCCTTGCCGACGCGCAGGCAGAGGCGTGCGAGGCGACAACCTTCATTTTCATGGATGTCGCCTATCTGAATATGCCCCCCCAAAAAAAACTTGAAATGATTAAGCCGAAAAAATCCGAATTTGAACCTAATGAAGCAGAAAAGAAGAAAGGGCATACCGAGAGACTCCATGCAAGCTCAGCTTGGAGGGAACTCCAATCAAGGAAAGTCTAAATGTGGAATTCCCTCCATTCCATTAATAATTGACTCGAGATGCAAGTTCTGTGGGAGGTAAGGAGCAGATCGTTACTCTTTAACACCCTGAATCGAGAAAGACGATTGAGCACATAGTTGCAAACCGCAGCCACCCCCTCCCCCCATAGTAAGGAAAGCGTGGATGAACTTGCAAACCCTTAACAAGAATACGAAAAAGCCTTTCAGTAGAGACTTCGTCATTTCTAAATGACGAAATGCGTTAATACCGCGGTCCAATCCAGACAGCGACGAACGTTTGCTGGAAATGTGCAGCGACGAACGTTTGCTGGAAATATTCAGCGACGTCTCTCGTTGGGTCCAGTTGCAACGTCGACGCAACCGAAGTGCCAGAACCCGAAGAGGAACGGACCAACCGGTGCTCCCAGAGGAAGCGGAGGTCCCCCTCGGCGAGCATGAGGCCTTCTGAGGCCTTCCCATGGGGCCATGAAACTTTCCCCAGAAGGCATAGCTGGCTCCTCGCAGAACTGGCTCCTCGCAGAACTGGCTCCTCGCAGAACTGGCTCCTCGCAGAACTGGCTCCTCGCAGAACTGGCTCCTCGCAGAACTGGCTCCTCGCAGAACTGGCTCAGTCGGCAGGTGGTCAAGGGATGGACGGCCTCCAGAAGGGATGACATTTGGATGGATGAAAAAAAATTGACAGAAAGCATCAGAATGAGTCACTACGCTGGCCTGCATTATACGACTACGATGTAGGACTACAAGGTAACCTTGTAGTCCTACATCAAATAGCGCGACCTAATACAGTATACAAAAACTGGAAGGAAAATTCACAAATCTCATATGAGATTCGGTTTTGCATCATAATTTCTCAGCGAGAAACCTCAGATTGTGGGGGAACGCCCACACGCCGACATGAACTTGGCATCGAGCATCTCGGCCACCTTCGGCCAAGGGGCGCGGCCTGGCACGTCGAAAGGAGCACGGCCCGCTTCCCGCGAATGCGTCGTCCCAGCTGACCGCGGCCCAACGCCTGCCGCTCCCGGCTCCGATGGACGATCACCGTAACGCGTAGCGGCTACGCCTACGCCACCGAACGCGCGAGAGCCGTGAAAGCTTCCGGAGCTCGGAATGCGAATTCCGGTCTCGCGCTTCTTCAAATCCCTCTCGACTCGCGGAAGATGTCGCGAGACAGATTCCTCGCGAGACAGATTCTTCGCGAGACAGATTCTTCGCGAGACAGATTCCTCGCGAGACAGATTCCTCGCGAGCCGCATTTCCGAAACTGCAGGCGGACAAATTATTTACCTGAGGATGAAAACTTAAAAAGATTAATATTCCTAAATATGTCGATGCCAGTCCATTTTAAATTGACTTCCATTAAGGGATGAATATCTCTGGTAACGGGTAATAAGCACTTAGCATCAATGGGAATTGATGACGGATCGGATCAGATCCCGGATCAGATCCAGGATCATCTGCCAAACGATCCAGTGCCAGAGGAATTTTCGATCTCACAGATTCTTACGAGAAAGCACGTAAGTCTTAAACACGTTTGTCTTCGGAAACGAATGCTCAATGGACACTGGTGAGACAAATTCCGCTTCCCAAGTTACACAATTTAAATATTAAAATTAAAATATTAAAATATTAAAATATTAAAATATTAAAATATTAAAATTTAAATATTTAAATATTAAAATTTAAATATTTAAATATTAAAATTTAAATATTTAAATATTAATATGAATAAATATAAATATTCAACGTAATAAGATATCCAAGCAGCCATTATTAACCAAATTACACCAAAGTCCTGTCAGGAAACGAGAATGGACCCGTGATTTCGACTTAACGTCATAAGCCATTAAGTCGAAACGTAGGCGAAGGCTTTCGGTCCGGTCCTCTCGCTGATGAGACCCTGATGAGATGCCGATGAG